CGTGCTCCTTTCACTCTCTCTTTTACCCGTCACTTCTACTTCACGATTTTCGTCTTACTTGCACCCTGCCAGCTTCTACCTACTCCCCGTTGGCGCTTGCGCCCTTGCTGTTGCCTAGCGGCTACGAATTGCTTGCCTTTCCTGGGTTGCATGCTGGAACTTTCCTTGTTCGTTCACACCTGTCCGCAGCTAACTCCAAGGTGAGTCTTCGTTCCTCATCGTTTCTTCCCTTTCTCCCTTTCTCACCTTTTCTCTCTCTACTCCCTCATTCAATCTGCTAGTGCTCGTTGCCCGTAATCGCGCTCTCCTACGTGTTCGCAAATACTTGCGATCGCATCTCCTCCCCTTACCTTGCCCGCTCTTGGATGCTTGGGCTATCCGCTTGCTGTTACGCTCCGGCTTGAACCCGCTTGCTTTTGCTTGCTTGCGCCCACGGTCTGTCCCGTACTTGCTTATGCTCGCTTGCTACCTCGTTGCGAGCTATCACGTCGTCCGCTATTCTCGTTGGCCTGGTCATCTTCCCTCTGCTATTGTCCATAGGTTCGATGGGTTGCAATCTAGTTAACATCAAGACATGTCGAGTGTATGAATGAGGTCGATTCAAAGCTAAAAATTCATCCAGGCTCAGATGCTTGAACCAATCTTTCTCGTATCGGTGACCCTTGTACCGAGTGCGTCAGCACCCACTTTACGACCAAGGTATGAATAAAACAATCATAAACAATAATAATAACAATAATAATAAATATAATAACGATAATAATAATATTACTCCGATATCCTCTAGCTCCCTTCACCTATTACTCGTTCAGTTGGCGTGATTTTCTTTCTCCTTGATTCATTCATGCATTTACTTGTGTTCCAAGGAAAAATTCGTTCTTAACTTACTTACCGATGTATAGAGTTGCCCGTATGGTTCGCGATCATCATAACTAACGCTCTTGTTCTTCCCTACCTACTAATGAACCTTTCACTCTTCTTGGGCAGCATGCAGAGTAGGAGTTTGAAGTTCCGTGGATGGCCTCGTGTGGTTTAATAACGAACTTTTTGAAAAAATTAAAGATAAAAATTAAAAAGAAAGGAAAAAAAAACTAACTAAACTAGCAACCGTATTATCCCGTGCGGCAAACTGTAAGGCTCCGTCCATTCGGTCCCCACTCAAAGGTCACGAGTTCGACTCCTATCTGACTGAGGACGAGATCAGAAGACAGGGGTCTGCCTTGGCTAACTAGCAAGAAAATCTAGCCTTGGGGCAAGAAAGGACTCAATCCCTATCCCTTCATCATATCCATGAGCACCTGCACCCATTGGGCTAGCCCCAAGTTTAGTGAGAAAGGAGCAGAAAGTCCTAAGTAGAGTATGGAGCTGACTTAGTCGGTGTAGCAGGCGTATGGTTTGTTTCCTGGGGTTAGTTTAGGCCGGTATCGACCGTTGCTGCCTAGTTCGGTATGTAGCATGACTCTTCTTGTTGCCCTGGTCGTAAGGCCGGAGCGTTCATTAATTTTCCAATCGACCTCCGAGGTTGTGGCGGAGTACATAGTCATTTTCTCGCATTCCACCGTGCTAGACGTCCTTGGATCCTAACTGGCTAAAATAACTCAGCACTCCAGTCAGAACCTACTCACTAACTCGGGGTGTTGTTGTCGCTTCCCACGCGCCTCCCTCTCGACCCTCGCGGCCGAAGGCTTGTAACTTTCACCAATCATTACCGTTTGCTACACGTACCGTGTTAACCTTCGTGGTCGCTTAACGACCTCAGCCTCAACGGTCAAGGAATCAGTCTCATGGTATGGCTTCAAAATACTCTCATTTTTCATTCCAGGCTGTCTGTGTCATGACAACCGGCATCAACTACATATCGTATGCAAAAACACGAGCAAATACCCTTGTAAGGGTGCTTGTTCCAGCAACACGATTTAACGGGTTCTGCGAACTCCGATTTCGCGGGTTTGGGGGGGGGGGGGTCGGTATTTCTGAGTGCCTGGGGTGCTGTAGTGGCCTGTTGGGTACCACCACATGCATTCAGAATTTTATTTTATTTTTTTTGAAAAAAAAGAAAAAAAAACAAGCCCGACGTCGCGCAGGTAGTGCAGGGTGTTTTGGGGGTACCTTTGTGGGGCGGGCTGCTTGGGGAACCGCTATAAAGCGCACCGTTTCACTCGGCCGCACTCATTTGCCACGTGAGCCAAAACTCAGAATGTGACAAACGCGTGCTGTGCACGGCGTCCAACGTGCACGAGAGAGAGATAGAGCGCCGAGGGGGGGGGGGGGGGGGGGGGGGGG